ATATATATATATATATATATATATATATATATATATATATATATATATCATCCATGCAAAAGGCCACCCTGGGTAAAATGTTAAACAACTAAACACAGAATTCTGAGTATGTTCACCTTCTATTCTTGTCAGTTCCAGCTGTTGGATTTATGTTAAAGTGGTCAGACCAGCATTTTCCAGGTTTCTGTCTCTCCAGCAATTGGTTGGGTAGCCTTGGTCCCAATACCAGCGATCCCCTGCCAACCAGAAGCCAATTTCTAACCAACCTGAGGACTAATACCTAATGAATCTACTTTCCCACGATGCCTTGTGAACTCACTCCACATTCAGTCTTGTCACTATGTCACAGAGAAATAGGTGAAGAGAGGCCCAAAATGAGAAGGCCTTGTTTCCCCACCTTCCTTCCAGGCCTGAGGAAAGGCTGTCCAGCAGAGAGCTGTTGACCAAGGCCTCAGTGCCATTCGTCATCTCCTCTGGTGGAGCCCTTGGGGACAGGAGCTTGGAGATGAGGCTACTAAACTTGCTCTCAGTGGCCGAGGGAGGCCCTTCCCAAGGGGCCTCGCTGGGGGTGGTGAAGTTCAGTTCCTCAGGGTCCAGGCAAAGCCCCTCATGGGATCGGTGAAAGTCAACTGTGCTCAAGTCTCCGCTCGCCACAGAGGATGGGGAGGCGCAGGTGACGTCCCTGACAAGACCGTAGCTCTCCATCCATTCCTTGAGCCACTCCATCTGGCAGTCGCAATGCCAAGGGTTCCGAAACAAGTACAGACGGCCCAGAAAGTAGACTGGCTGGAAGACAGAGAAGGGCAGCAGGGTGAGGCTGTTGCTGTTGAGGTGCAGGGCCACAAGGCTGGTGAGGTTCTCAAAGGCCCCTTCTTCAATGTACTGTATCCTGTTCCTGTCCAGGTAGAGCACTTCCAACTCCACCAGGTCACGGAACCAGGCCCTGGACACGTGGCTCAGGGAGTTGCCCCCAAGGTTGAGCATCTTTAGGTGGCCCAGGCCCTCAAAGGAGCTCCCCGGGAGGCCATGGAGGAGGTTGTCGTTCAGGTAGAGGTACTCCATCCTCTGGCAGTCCTGGAATGCCCCTGCATGCACCACACTGATCCTGTTGTCTTGCAGACTCAGAGAGCACAGCCGGCCTAGGCCCTGCAGCGAGTTGTAGGCGATGGCCTCGATCCAGTTTCGTTCCAGGTAGAGATGGGTCAGGTTCTCCATCCCCCTGATGGCCCCGGGCACCCGACGGAAGTGGTTCTGGAAGCAGGAGAGCTCCTGCAAGGCAGGGAGGTCCACAAAGATGCGGTCAGGGATGCTGAACAGATGGCAGCCTGCCAAGTCCAGCCTGACCAGGCGTCGGAGGGCAGCAAAAGTCCTCGTGTGCAGGTAGCGGATGTCCTCATTGTAGGCAATCCTTAGCTCCACTAGGTTGGGCAACCCCTTGAAGGCCCCTGGAGTGATGAAAGAAATATTGTTGTGACTCAGAGACAGGTGTTGGAGGGAGGGCAGGGTGCCAAAGGCCCGCTCTGCCAGGAATTTGATGCCGTTCTTATCCAGGTTGATGAAGGAGGCTTCACAGGGGAATTCACTGGGGATCTGCAGGAGGCCCGTCCTGTCACACAGCACAGAGCAGCTGCGCTCGTGAGTGCAGGTGCAGCCAGTTGGACAGGTGCGGACACATGCCCAGATAGCATGGGCACAGGGGCAGCAGAGAAGCACTTTGCAGCAGCAGAGGGTTGGGCAGAAAGGGAAGGAAGCAGGCAAAGAATAGAGGTTCCATGAGGGCAGAGAAGGGAAGAAGGAGAGAAAAGAAAAAGATGAACAGTTAGTAAGAATCACAACCTCAGCACTTCCGATCAGATCTATGAAACAAAGTCCAAACACTGACCTTCAAGGCTTTCCAACCCACTTTTCTAGTTTTATCTCCCAAATAAAGTGACCCACCCATTGTACCCTCCAAAATACTTTTCAATTTACCGCCCCTATATTTTTAGGACAGCTGGATGGCTCAGTGGAGAGAGTGCCAGGCCAAGAATCAGGAAGACTCATCTTCATGAGTTCAAATCCAACCTCTGACACTTACTAGATGGGTGGCCCTAGGCAAGTCACTTAACCCTGTTTGCCTCATTTTTCTCATCTGTAAAATGAACTGGAGAAGGAAATGGAAAACCACTCCACTCCAGTTTCTTTGCCAAGAAAAGTGCAAATGGGATCACTGAGAGTCAAACACGACTATACAACATTTTTGTTCATGCTATTTACCATCCTCACTCCCCTTTCTACCTATTTGAAACCTACTGTAACAAGATCTCTGTTAGGGGTTATTTATATAAAGTGAAAATATCCTACTGGGCCATTGCAGGAGAGGAAGGATTTATACTCTTACTCCCTCTCTCTCTGTCCCACACTGTGGAATATAGGCATAACCAATCTTTTCTAGACACTTTCCTCACACCAAGAATAATTTCTTTATAATTAACCCTATTGGTTCCACCCTGGAAGAAAGGAGGGTATCTCCTTGAGCCATGTATATAATAGAGCAGTGGAGAACTTCACATGGCTCCCACTGGCAGCTCAACCATCTCCCCCCCTCCCAGACAGAAACTTCTATTGAACTTACCCTTTGCTTAAGGGGAAAAAAAACCTGGATTCACATTTCCTCAAGCAATGTTTATAGAACAGGATATGCTGGTAAAAGCTTAACAGCTGGTGGCAAAGAATTGGAAATTGAGGGGATGCCCATCCATTGGGCAATGGCCAAACAAGCTGTGGTATATGAATGTAATGGAATACTATTGTGCTATAAGAAGTGATGAGCAAGCAGACTTCAGAAAAACCTGGAAAGACTTGTATGATCTGATACTGAGTGAAGTGAGCAGAATCAGGAGAATGTTGAACACAGTATCAGCTATGTTGTGCAATGACTAACTTTGATAGACTTAACTCTTCTCAGAAATGCAAGGATCTAAGGCATCTCCAAAGGACTCAGGATGGAAAATCCTATCCACATCCAGAGAAAGAACTATGGAGTCAGAAAGCAGATAGAAGCATACTATTTGCTCTTTTTTTCTCTTATTGTTTTGTTTTGTTTCTTCTCTCTTGTAGTTCTTCCCATTGGTTCGAATTCTTCTTTACATCATGACTAATGTGAAAATATGCTTAATATGAATGTTAAAGAAAAGTTTGACAATTAGGCCGGGAAGGTTGGGGGATATATGTACAAATGCTTTTGAATTTAATCTGAATTATTCACATTTTCTTAAATCTAAGCAATCAACAAAACAATAAAGCAATCCCTGATTTGTAGTAACTGCTGATTTCTGAGGTGCAAATTGTAGACACCGAAAATTTAACAATCAGCTCCAAAGCAGGTTCGAGCTGGCCCCAGCACACCCATGATCCCAGTTACTGCTTTAGCATTCACTGGCCTTTATTTATTTATTTATTCTAGGTCTTTAGTTACTTTTTAAAAATTACATATCCTGCCTCTTTCACTATATCATAACTCCTTTTAGGTCAGAGACTGTATCCCCTGCATTGCCTTGGACAGAGTGAGTGCAGAATGGGTGCTTATAAATGTTCACTGCTTAGTACATCAGGAGTAAGAAACAGAGGAATCTAATTTTCAGCCAATTGTTGGCAGAGTGAGGGACCGGAACCCTATGCCTGAGCAAACAGCTGGGAGAATCTATTACTCCTGTTCTGCCAGGGGTGATAGTGTTGGCTTTAAGGGGATATGTACAGAATCCTAAGTAAGCCTGCTTCCATTGGTAACCAAGCATCCAAAGCCTAGTCTGGGGATTTTTGTGTCCTGACCACTTTTTCCAACTGAGTGTGGAACTTAGGGTCAGGAAGACCCTACCTCTGACACTTTCTAGCTCTGTGACCATGGACTGTTTAACCTCTCTGAGTCTCAGCTTTCAGATGGAAACACTACTAGTAATACCTGCAAAAGATTGAGGTAGTCTTTGTGAAGTCTGGAATTTGCAAGGAAAGGTGGAGCATCATAAGACAGAGCCCAGAGTCAGCAGAGAGAATGTAATGAAAACTAGCTTTACTGAGGGGAAATATTCATAATAAGAAAGGACTGACTTGAAGGAAGGAAATAGCTCAGGTCTGCTGCAGTCCTTCGTGGAATCAGGTACCCAAACCAATAAAAAAGCTTTTGTTTATGTGGGTTATATCTAGTGATATTTACCATGTTGGATGAAAATGTCAGTATTATTATGAAAATGATTTTTACCTCCTGGACCCCTTGAAAAAATCTGGGATCCCCCAGGATTGCTGGACTATATTTTGAGAAACACTGCCTTATAGAACTATGTAATTGTTCAGTCATTTCCAACTCCTGGTGACCCCATTTGGGGTTTCTTTGGCAGAGATACTGCAGTGGTTTTCCATGTCCTCCTCCAGCTCATTTTACAGATGAGAAAATTGAGGCAAACAGGGTTAAGTGACGTGCCCAGGGTCACACAGCTAGTAAGTATCTGAGGGCAGATTTGAACTCAGGAATATGAATCTTCCTTTTTCCAAGCCCAGTACTCTGTTCACTGTGCCACCTAGCTGCCCTAAAGAATGGTAGTCAACTATCACGATTAGCCCTTAGTTCAAGTCAATTCAAGTCAAAGGCATTAATTAAGTGCCTACTGTATGCAAGAGTACTGTGCTAGGTGCTAGAGATACAAAAACAAAAATTAAGTAGTGACTGCTCCCTAGAAAGGGCTCACATTATAATGGAGTTTGGGGAGCATTGTATGCAGAAATAGTGATAGTAATGGGGGGGCAGGGGAGAAGGGGAGATCCAGACTGATTATTCTTGGAATATTTGAGGGGAAAGAGAACACTTTCAAGTTGAAGAATTAGGGTACACTTAGAAGGTGATGCTTGATCACTTCAGGTGATGTGCTGATAAAGAATAAGGATAGATTCTGAAAAGTACACGCAAGGAGAGAGGACACATCAGGTATTGGGAATGGCCCTTGCCAAAGCACCCAAGTGACAGCAACGGAGTTCTGCGAACAGATAGTAGCTGAGTTTGGCTGGAACACAGAATTCACGACAGGTATGGTAGGAGCAATACAGGATGTCCCAACAGCCTTAGTATAATTTTAAGCAATAATAACAATAACAATATGCTTTAAACTGCACTAAGACTTTTGGGACACTCTTTTGTCTAGTAGGTAGAAAATTTTATAGGATCTTAAAAGTCAGGCTAAGAACTTTGTATTTTATTCTAGAAATAATAGGGAACCACTGAAGGATTTTAAGCAGGGGAATGGCACATTGAATACCTGTGCCTTAGGAAAATTATTTTAGCAGTTACGTGATAGACACATTAAAAAGGAGACAAGGAGAGGCAAGAAGACTAATTGGAAAGTAATTACAGTAGTTGAGAAGTGATGAAAATTCAAACTATGGTTGTGGCCCTGTGAGTGTAGAGAAAGGGATGCATGTATATATATAAACATATAAACATACACATATATGTATGTATAATATACATATATAATGAGTTTTAGAAGTAGAATCAGCAAAACCTGGCAAATGATTGGGTGAGAGAGAGGAAACATAGATGACTAAGATTTTGAACCTGGGTGACTGAGATCATGATCAATATGTAAAATATACTCTCCTTTAAGCTAAATGGAGCATTCTTCTCAGCAATGTAAGAATCTAAAAGACTCAGGATGGAAAATGCTATCCACGTCCAGAGAGAGAACCACGGAGTCTGAATGCAGATCGAAGCATATTATTTTCTTCTTTTTTTTCTTTCTCATGGTTTTTCCCTTTTGTTCTGATTCTTCTTTCACAACATGACTAATGTGGAAATATGCTTAAAGGGATTATACATGTATAGCCTGTATCAGATTGCTTGCCATCTTCAGGAGGGAGCAGGGGAAGGAAAGAGGGAGAAAAGAAGGTGGAAATCAAAATCTTATGAAAATGAATATTGAAAACTAAAAGAAAAAAAGAAAAGAAAAAAGATGAAATGGAGCATTTTGATCATGAAAGGGTCAGAAAGTGTGTAAAGAAAGACATTTGTATTAATTGTCAAAGGATAGCATTGCTACCATTGTAGATGATTATTTTGATACATAATACAAGTAGTAAAAGAACTTTGTTTTAATAGACACTTAATATATGTGTATGAAGAAACATAACTGTCAGATGGGATTTGGACAGTTTCAAAGAGAAAATCATCTGTGGTGTAGATGTGAGGACTCATATCCCATTATCAACTCTATGAAGTGATACCTTGCTTATGTGAGAACAGTTTCATATTATTAAAAAAGTTTTTATTAAAACTAGACAGTGTAGAGAGCACCGGCCCTGGAGTCAGGAAGATGTGAGTTCAAATCTGGCCTCAGACACATAATACTTCCTAGCTGTGTGACTCTGGGCAAGTCACTTGACCCCAATTGCCTCACCAAAAACAAAAACAAAAACTGGAGAAATAGGAGTTTAGTGAAACAGCTTCAAGAGCACCAAAGAGATCTGTTAAAAAGCCTTCAGAATTGTAAAGCATGATGGATACCTCAGCTAATTTGCATATGCCATTTTAAGACAAAAAAGGGTAAAACTGAAACAATAAGAAATCATGAAATTTTGAAGAATGAAGCATGATTTAAAAAGGACTTTGAAATTTCTTTGAAAAGGAATTTGATAGGAGAAATTTGGGAAGTTGGACTTTTTAAGTAAAAGGTGAGTCATAAATATC